CGAGGCCGTAAGCCGGTACCATACACACCAGCGTAACCAACTCTACATATATTGGTTCTTTCCACCAAATTATGTCGTTCCACCGACTATCCCGTGCACTACAACCCACATTCGGGCGTGCACAACCGGCCCATGCAACATTTGGTATGTGTCATGACGACCGCATACCTTCTCGCAGTCGCACCAGCGACCTACATGCCATACACCTGGCGCGCGGTTCCTGACCACCACGGATCATCTCCAACGACCCGCCATCCTGGTCTACCATCAAGAGGCCGTGAGCCGGCAACTATGCGCTCCAGCATAACCGGCCCATGTAAGATTCAGTGTGTGTCATGACGGCCGCACGCCGTTCCGCAGTCGCACCAGCGACCTACATGCCATACATCTTGCTTTCGGCTCCTGATAACCACGACGCATCACCTGATGAGACGCTACCATCAATAGGCCGTGAGCCGGCAACCATGCGCTCCAGCGTAACCAGCTCCATATCTATTGACTTATCTTGCCGTTCCACCGATTTTCCATGCACGACGACCCACAGTCGCGCGCGCCCAACCGGCCCAGGTAAGATTCAGTATGTGTCATGACGGCCGCATGCCGTTCCGCAGTCGCACCAGCGACCTACATGCCATACGTCTTGCTTTCGGCTCCTGATAACCACGACGCATCACCTGATGAGACGCGACCATCAATAGGCCGTGAGCCGGCAACCATACGCCCCAGCGTAACCAGCTCCATATCTAGTGACTTGTTTTGTTTATCTCGCCTGCTAACCACGACTCCTTACCTGATGAGACGCTACCATCAATAGGCCGTGAGCCGGCAACCATACGCTCCAGCGTAACCAGCTCCATATCTAGTGACTTGTTTTGTTTATCTCGCCTGCTAACCACGACTCCTTACCTGATGAGACGCTACCATCAATAGGCCGTGAGCCGGCAACCATACGCTCCGGCGTAACCAGCTCCATATCTATTGACTTGTTTTGTTTATCTCGCCTGCTAACCACGACTCCTCACCTGATGAGACGCGACCATCAATAGGCCGTGAGCCGGCAACCATACGCTCCAGCGTAACCAGCTCCATATCTATTGACTTGTTTTGTTTATCTCGCCGTTCCACCGATTATTCCATGCACGACGACCCGCATTCGCGCGTGCACAACCGGCCCATGTAAGATTCAGTCTGTGTCATGACGGCCGCATGCCGTTTCGCAGTCGCACCAGCGACATTCACGCCATACATCTTGCTTTCGGCTCCTGGTAACCACGACTCGTCACCCGATTAGTCGCTACAATTGTACCATGTTCGACAATCAATCATCTCACCCTTCTCATCCGGTCCACATTGACTTCTGGAAAACCTCGTGGGAAAAAAAAAACCATTCATCAAGTGTACACGACATGACAAGCAGCAACGACAACCGAAAGTAGATTTGTGTTTGTCTCTGGGTTTGGACGGCGGTTTTTCACCAATCCACCACCCTTGTCTCGCGCCGACAAACACCCTAGATAATAAGTCTCGTCTTTTGATCGGGATTTATCACAACCACACCATAGTTTCTCTGACAATATGGATCGAAAAGTACAACACTTTTGCGATGCTATTGATTTCCTTTCGCATCATTGTATGCAGCTCCATGTACACCAGTACATCACTCGTGGATGACTAACAGAAGCATGCTTATCTGTGGCACCCACCACTGTCACATGTACATAGTGCCACCCCTGATCCACACACCGGTGCGAACCATGCACCACCCAATGTCCACACACCGGTGCAAACCATGCACCACCCAATCTGACCATTGTGCTTAGGCATCGCCGGGCCTAGGCTCACGAAATGCGCGATGATAGACTGCCGAATGGGTCACGTACGCATTCTGTTTTTGGGTTGGTTTGTGTGCCGTGTGTCTTTCCACCAAATTATTTGGTTCCACCGATTTGTCCATGCACGGAATCCACATTTGGGCGCGCACAACCGGCCCCTGCCACATATGGTATGTGTCCTGACGACCTCGTATCGTCTCGCAGTCGCACCAGCGACCTACATGCCATACGCCTGGCGTGCGGTTCCTGACCATTACGGATCATCTTCAATGTCCGCCTGGGTCTACCATCAATAGGCCGTGAGCCGGCAACCATACGCTCCAGCGCAACCAGCTCTTTATCTATTGACTTCTTCCGTTGATCGTGCCGTTCCACCGATTATTCCCAGCACCGCGATCCACCGTCGCGCGTGCACAACCGGCCCATGTAAGGTTCCGTATGTGTCATGACGGCCGCACGCCGTTACACAGGCGCACCAGCGCCTACATGCCATACATCTTGCTGTTGGCTCCTGATCACCACGACTCATCACATGACGAGACGCCACCATCAATAGGCCGCGAGCCGGCACCATACGCTCCAGCGCAACCAGCTCCATATCTATTGATTTTTCTTTGTTTATCGTGCCGTTCCACCGATTATTCCACGCACGACTACCCACATTCGTGCGTGCCCAACCGGCCCATGCAAAATTCAGTATGTGCCATGACGGCCTCATGCCGTCCACATTCGCACCAGCAACCTACATGCCATACATCTTGCTTTCGGCCCCTGATAACTACGACCCATCATCGATTAGTCGTTATCATGCCCAACGATCGGTCATCGTACTCTTCTCATCCGGTCCACATTGACTTCTGGAAAACCTCGTGGGAAAAAAAAACCGTCCATCAAGTGTACACGACATGACAAGCAGCAATAACAACCGAAAATAGATTTGTTTTTGTGTGTGGGTTTGGCACTGGGTTTGGACGGCAGTTTTGTTTGTCACCAATCCACCACCCTTGTCGCACTGCGACAAACACCCCAGACGATGTGTCTCGTCTCGCGATCAGTATTTCTGATAATCACACCATAGTGTCTCTGACACTACGGACCGGAAAGCACAACGCGTTTTCGATGCGGTCCTGGCTTTCGCATCTTTCTCATAGTCGATGCGTTGAAGTTTAAAAATTGGGACCGCAGTCACATCATAACCGCACGCAGCACCCCGAATTCCACCTTCGGCACGGTGCCCTGTCATGCGACACCCATAGCCGGCCGCGGCGCCTCTCCCGCGCAACCAGCACACGCACCGCGGCCACCTAACCACATTGTCGGTGAGACATAATATATGCTGTATGCGTACATAGGAACGCGAACACGCGCTCGTACCGCTCTATGTGACCATCACTCAGCACACCAGAAGTGATCGGGTGCTTCGGACATGCTCGATGATATCTGCTGTCGCATGATGCAAACTCGGCCGGTACCCCGCGCAAGCGAACGACAGGCATCGAGGGAGTCGCGGCGCCTACCGCATGCACACCCGCGCACACACCGCAGTCACACCAGTAACCGGTGGCTTCTTTCGGACGCGCTTTCCGAACACGCCCAACAGCAGTCAACAACATCGATACAGCATGCCCACACCCGCCCGCCACTTCACATATGGCACGTGAATCCTTACAGCCTCGGCCCCCGTGTGCCGTATACAATAACAACATTTGTCATTGTGTGCACTAACTGCTGTCTGCGAAAGCCAGCTCTCGCTGTGATGCTGCTGGGATAACACGCCACATCGCAGTCAGTCGCACGTACCAAGCGAAGTCGATGTGTTCCAGGCTCGACGTAGCGACTCCTCCCGCCCAGCGGTAGTGGCCTCCGCCCCGTCGGAAAAGACGACAACACTAGCTCCCGCAACAGAATGTCCTAAACCAGCAGCTGGCAGAGTGTTGTCCAATCGTACGTCTAGCAGTCCCTGTGCTCCAGCACTGCTGATGCTCCAACGTGATCGGGCGCAAACGGAATGTCCTGCGGGCAGCTGCCTTATCTCGGTGCGCATGCCTCCTCTCCTGCAAGCACGCAGACATGCTCTTTGCCATATAATATAAATGCCCACTCCTTCTACCAACTCCAATAAACACCAATTTCAGACTCCTTCCCCCTTTGGTAGGATCCATCTGAAATATTCGCTTTTTTTGCGGTGACCATGAATGGTGGTCGAGTAGATTATGTTGTGCAGGGTCGAGAACCTTCACTCCGCGCAAAGGGGGATGATCGTACCACGTTGTGTTAAATTGGTCAAGCATTCTCGAGGCAGTTGCACAGCGCTTCCAACTGTCTCTGGAAGTGAAAGCACCAGAAAATTAATTAAGTCATACGCAGCTGTCATCCGTAAGCAAGGAAGTAAGCACAAGATGCCGAACACCCTTAGCAGGATGCAGCGCACCCTTCATGCGACTCGCCGAATACCTCACGGCGTGTCGCGCTTGGTGATGTGAGAGCCTGGTCCGGTGAGAACCCGGCGTGCTCCGTCCCGGCTTTGTAAGGATGCGAGGGCAATGTTCTAAAGACTACGGCATGCACGACTATGAGTACACCCCCCCCCCCCGTCCCTGCTCATCCGGTGTGTGTCTCGCTGTTGTGGTTGCTGCCGCCTTAGGTGGTGCCGACTGTGGCCCCTTGTAGCTGTGTTGGGCATCCCTGGAGGGCTCGCGTCCAGCGATTGGTCCTGGCCGACAATTTCAGCAATTTCATCGTGACGGTGCTGGTCGTGAACACCGTCGTCCTCGCCGTCGGTAAGGGGAGACAACATTTGATATTGTGCAGTCTCAAGTGTGCGAATGCCGTATGTGAGTGACCGTTGTGCATCGTACGTCCAACACACGGCGTGGACTGCCGTTGAAATACCGACCCTAGACCACGTTGTGCTATTGTTCTGTGGCGATGGTTCTCCACGAGCCTTTCACACTTCCACTGGCTCCATTTGTAGAAAACGTACCAAGAGCGAGGTGAGCGCGGACGGGGTTGTTATTGTATAACAGGAGGGGGCTTTCACTGAGGAAAATCGAACCGTAACGCAAACGCCCACGAGCAGATCACGCGGACGCGCCGGACTGGCAACTGACTGCCCAAGACATCTTCAACCACACCTTCGCCTCGATCTTTGTGGTGGAAACGTGCCTGATGTTGTTCGGCCTCGGATTCCGGTGCTACTTCTCCACGGGACGACAGATATTCGAATTCGTCGTGACCATGGCCTCGCTGATCGACCTCGTTATGAACCTCAGTGGTGCCTGTTCGGGGTGAGTTTATTCCCCGCAATGACTGGGCTGCTGGTGGCAGAAGTCAAACATTGTGACCCGAGTGTTTGTCGGCTCTTTGACTGGACTCTTGTGTGGAACCTGGTGGCCGTGGGCTTTCGGGGGTTGTTTCCCCTGTCGGCGCCATGCGAGTGACCCTCGTCATTGGCCTGGCGACTTCCACAGTCACCCCAAAAATGCTACATTCTTCGGTGTGTTGACGACTTTTGTGCGAAGGAACTGGCGCTTCGTGATTCATGCATTGGTCAATAAAACCAGCTGGTTGTGTTGCGGTGAAAGTAGTGCCACGCCAGCCAAGACACCCCGTACCTGATCTAACTTCAATTGTGCCGGCGGATCGTGTCACGGGCTTGGCCATTCACACCCCAGGGTCCGACAGCTTCGAGCAGAACAAAAGCTGTCGCCATCAAGGGCTGTCCTCCTCCCCGTTATTTTCCTTCCTTCTTTTTGCCGAGAACACCAGTATCAATATGTACATATGCTGACAGAGGCCCTTTCGTGGTGCCGTGCCTCTCCCGTCGTTATCCTTGAAACGAAAAGCCATGACATCGTCGTCCTCACCCTGGTTCGGTCCCTGCGAGTGGTGCGAGTCATTCGGCTGGCGACGCATATTCCGGGTTTCGACCAAATCTTGGCGGCGTGCACGTACCCCGCGCGAGTGCTGCTCAACGTTTTCGTGCTGCTGGGAATCGGAGTGTACGTCTTCGCCAACATTGGGGTGGCTCTGTTCTCGGACGTCGAGATAGAGGTAAAACATTTTGTGTTTGTCCGAGCAACCGGGGTTCTTGGTGCACACGGAATAATTCCTGTGTGCCACGGTTTACGTCGAAAAACCTGCGGTTGATGGAATCGCCTCTGGGTGCAGGCAATGGGCAGGATCAGCATTGGGCATGAAAGTTTGGGCAGGTGGGTACAACGAAATTGCCGGTGGAAACACCAACAAATGCAACAACCACATGGTAAAGAGGGCGATTGAACAACTCGGAGTCGATTCACGGACGACGAAAGGTGGTGTCTTTCGTGGTCCACTCCTTTCGAGGTTGAAAACCTCAAAAGTCGGGTGGAAAGCCGCTCAAGCTATTTGTAAACCTGCCACGCCCTGCCCATGCAACATAAAGCGACCCTGGTTCCACTAGCGTGGCTTGAGGAGAGAGACTAGCCGTGTCTAGAACCAGAGACACGAAGGTCAATGGAATAGATCTGACACCTCCAAGTCCAGTTTCGAACGTGCCGATGTCTCTCACGGGATCCTCCATTGCTTTGCGGGCACTACAGTATATACTTTGACATTTTCCTGACGGCGCCACCCCTGCTGGCCTGCCCCACGCTGCCCGAAACACGCCGCATCGCTTCGTGTATACCTGCAGAAAACGACAATGAACCTGTATCAGGACTTCTCGTCAGTTTCGCATGCTATGGAGCTGCTGTTCATTGTGGCTACGGGAGAGGCGTGGGCGGAGTACGCTTCGAAAGTGGCCGAGAGAGCGGATCAGCCAGACGCTGTGGTCTTCGGGTTCTTCGTCACTTTTGTCGTGTAAGTCAAAGATGATTGTGCCCGCAAATCGGGATCTGATCTTGCGTGCGATCTGCTGGCGTCGGCGTCATACGCGTGCTTGCCCAGGACAACCATGCCCCGTGTGTATCACGTTCGTCTGCCGTGACAAACCTTGTTTTAAAGGTCGGCTATGAAAGATCTCGATTGTCTATCTCTGTCGTCTGGCCTAGCGCAAGTTGTCTGTGTAGGCTTTGCCTGACTTTTCGTCTTTGTCATCTTGTGGTTCGTGAAGACGTTACGGACGGTATATTCTAAAGTGTATCGCCAAGTACACGTCCGTACCAAGAGTGCGGACTAGAAAACGGTGAAAACATCGTCCTTTTGCTACAAAAGCGAAAACCTCTGATGCCCTTCTCCTTTTCCCGTTTCTGTTTTTTCTCGTGGTGACTCGGTTAATTCTGTTCCTCTCTTGGCCACCCCGTCGATGGTTCGGCTGGGGGGCGCAGCATCATGCAGTTCATCCTGACTAACCTTTTCATCATGGTGATTGTCGAAACGTTCGAGGTGAGCACGATGCAACGTGCGTTACTGTAGCAAGTAAAGGCACAGAGCTCTTCACGATATTTTATGTTAAGATACACGTGCTGTGCAGTAGTCCTGCCATCTACAACGACTTCACAAGCAGCGCGACAGATTCCCTGTCGGTATGGGTCTATCGTGTAGTTGCCCCCTGGCATGTCCCGTAACTGCTGTTTCCCACACACCCACATAAGAAACCAGACCCTCCACAGAATACGACACGCCGGTGATAATATTGGGGGTTTCTGACAAACCATCGATTTATCACCGGGGGTATATAAGACAACACACCCCTGAGGTTACGCCGCATACATTCATGGGGCTCCTCCTTCTATCTCCGGGGTGATACAACATCTGCCCCGTGGACATGTGGGCATCTCACACACACAACATCTGCGTAACTCTCTTTTGGTCGTACCCAGTAGCAAAGTATGCAGGAGGCTACTTTTTTGTGTGAGGGGGCAGGACGGATGGCGCACTCTGTGGCCAACGAGTTATTATGTGCTCAAGAGTTGTCACCTCCGCTGAGCTCCTGTGTTTTACCACATTCCGCAGAACCACAAGTCATGAAGTGTTCGCACAGGCATTGCTATCACCCCCCCGCAATACGCACCAAGTGTGCGGCAGCAGCGGTTCAACTCCACAAGAAGTGTTATCACATCTCCTTTTTATCACACACACCCATTATCACCCCCCCAAACATACCCTGTGGGTATTCCGACGTGCCATCACACCCCCTTTTTGTCAACCCCCCTCATTTACCACACCCTGTGCGTGTTCGGACGTGCTATCACACACGCCGGTTTATCACACCCCCTTAGGGGCCCCTGCGAGCTGCACTTTATCACCCGGGTTACACGAGATACCACACCCCCCACAGGATACCACACCCGGTGATAATATTTTTAAAGCCCAAAATGATATCACCGGGGTGTGTTATCTTGTGTCGCCTACGATACTTGCAAACCGTCCAGCTAGTAGAGTTTATACATCCTGGAAACCTAGCTGTTGCAGCCTCAATCACGAGGCTAACGGAGGAAGCTTCTGAAAACCGAACATTTCGACTTGTGAACGACACGACTCCTCCCCCGCTCGCCACCAACCGCTCTGACACGCATTCCTACTGGCGTTCTAGACTCTGAACGCGATGGAAAGGCAGGACCTTGAGGACGCGATACCGTGTTTCCAGGAGACATGGACAACATTTGACCCGAAAGGCAGCGGGAAACTCCCACCTAAGCACCTCTTCACGGTAAGAAACTAGTGATCAATTTAACACATATAAGAGCAGGAGATACTCGAAGCCAGTTCGCTATTGTTGTTCCTGCTGTTTGAAGTACAGGGCCGAGAAATGCAATTTCGAGGGATTGGGTTCTTGAGATCGTATGGCAACATACCAGAGACTGGCGGTTGAAATCATCGGCTTTGCAACGAAAAGCACTGCCCCAAAACTCTTTCGTTGGTATACTTCATTAGGCGAGAACGTTTGTTTGCGAATGAGTGGGCGTCGGTAGACTTTTTTTTTTCTTTTTTTCTCTCCCATTGTTGGACTCTGTCGTCTGCCCCTCTGGCCCCCATCCTCCACTTCTACTAGCTAGACGACCCAACCGGGGTCACATAGGAGGGGGGGGCTGGGCCCCCTCCTGCGGTTCCTGCCTGAGATATTTTTATCGCGAGAAGGGTACAGCAATCCCTTCCCTCGCGACTATGAAGTCTATCAAGTTTACTAACAACGAGCTTTGCAGCGCGTCGCTTCCAAGTTAGACCAGGATCTATTTAGTGAGAAAAAACTCACTCTGCCGGGTAGACTGTATGGTCCTGAAGAACAAAGAAATGGGTTCAACGAAGAAAAGAGGAGTCGGGGATACCTGTACACACGTGTGTAACCGGTGAAACAACCCAGAGCGGGCATTTCCTTGCAACGAGCGACACTACGCGTCCGTGTGAAAGATCAGGCGCTTTTGATATATGCACACTTTATTCAATGGGACTGTCCAGATGGATTTATCGATAAACACAATCGGCTTCAAGCGACTGTGGCGGCAACTAATAGTTGTGTATGACTGATTCTATGCTCGCGCATCCCCTCTTTTCAATCACCATGAAATTGCAGTTTTTGCTAGAGCTGCAAAAGCCTTTAGGTGCGGCAGGCAACCACGCCCTGGCCGGCAGATACGCTACAATGCTTAAATCGGCGCCAGGATTTGACTACAGCTTTGCGAAGGCGAGTGCTCTCCTTGAACCATTCTCTCATAATGATTTTGTTGTGGAAGTCTTGTTCCGTGAGCAACAAACCCCGTATACTCGGCGTCTTCTTTGCTGCGGTGACCCAGTCTGATGTCCGTGGTACCTGACATGGAATCTTGAGAATGGTTCAGAAAACGAGTGAAGCACGCGCGTTATTTGGCAGAAAGCCAGAGTCGTGGTCAAGGAAGCATCGGCTTACCGAACATCAATACTTGAAGATCGTCAGAGACAGATTTGACCGGGATCTTTTGACACTACGAAGACATGATCATGGTGGTGTCGCGGCTCCTTCATTTGAAGAGCCACGACAACTGCCGTAGTACTTGGGCTCTAGGAACTGATGTAGTACCACCCACTTAATTTACGTGTTCCGGCCTTCCAGATCTTAGCGGGGCTCGGCGCGGCCCTGCTCTCCGACGAGAACCACGCGCACGCAAAGACCGGCGGCTACCGGCCGGTCAACCTGAAGAAGATTATGGCCACCCTCGTGGTGCAGAGGGCCCTCAAGCGCAACATGATGCAGAAACGAGGGAAGTTCAGCCTCGCCGACATTGTTCTCGCGGCTGAGGACCGGGCGGGGACCCGTCGCGCGTCGAGAACCAATCAACAACTGCCCGATAGTGACGGAATACACAACTACCTAGGTGACGCCCGGCGATTGTCGTCAACGGCGCAATTGTCAACCACGGGACAGGGAGGTCTCGAAGGGTACCAGAAGCAGGGGGCGTTGGCAAGGGGGAGAGCCGGGTCGATCGTCCTCCCGCCGGATGCACACGAAAGCAAGTGGCTCATGCAGCGGTTCTTGACGGACTTGCAGCGGAACAACGACAGAAATGGGCAGGAAGATTTCACGCCGAGGAATCGTAGAGGTTCTTCGTCTGTTGCCGGTGCCGTTCAAGATAACAGTGATGAAGCACGAGCGACTGCTGCTAGAGGGATGGCTCTGCACCTGCTTGGCTCGCGCCGTGGAAGCGGGTCTTCAGAGGCTAAAACGGAGATTGGATCTCCCGCCGCAAGAGACCCGCAAACAAAACCGGGCGGTTTCGATGCCGACGGCCACTGTCTGGAAGATGGAATTCGCATTGTGGGACGGGGAACCGGCGGGTTGGAAGAGGAAGAGAATCCGGGAAATTTGGATGGGGTTCCGGAGACTTCGCTGGTGTCGTGGCTGAGAGACCGTAGGAGCGTAGACCTATAACGTGGCGGTTGTGATATGTCTTGTTTGTAGCTCTCACACTATGTGTATTATACACAGCCCCAAATACCTCATCTGCAGAGTACTTACCAAAGAATAGATGCAAGGAGGTTCTGCAACTGAGGAACGGCCTGTATTTTGGAACGCTCGAGTTTTGGTGACGGATATTCTACATGTTTTTTTAATAGTAGACGCCTCGGGGGTGTGTTGTCCTTGTGCATGTGTGTGGTAATTTAGCCAGCGCTGACTGGTAGCACAGAGTTAAAAAGTGCTACTGACATTATCCTCTACATCGGACGCAACTCACTCTTCCGGACCTCAAATGTACACATGCCGGACGGAATGGAACAGGTGAGTGTAATGGGTCAGGGTGACCAATGGCATTGCGCTACTGCTGTACATGAAACTCTCGTGGCCTAAGCACACTATCGAGAAGAGGCAAGCGGGTCGGCATCGGAAAGCAAGCCTGACCACGTGCCCCTCCCCCCGCCGCCGAACAACTTCTTCAACTAGCCTTTCAAGAGCGTTGGTCGTTAACAAGTCAAGTACGTGCAGTCCCGAAGAGGTTGGGCCCTTTGCTACCCACCCAAAAAAACATTCAAGCCTCCAGTAGCCTTCCCCCGAACAAAGTCACTCCAAGGACTATAGTCCTAAGCTTTCCGAGGGGGTTGTTCTTTTTTCCCGAGAGCTCTACCCACGCACTACTAAGATTGCAAGTAGAAGCGTTCAAACGCCTCTCGAACACTGTCCACCACAGCCCGAACAACAAGGCAACAAGAATGACAGTTGCAAGCATTGGCCTTCGGCAAACATCAACGGTATTTTCTTTGCTACCATTTTTTCCTAGACTCACTGTTACAGTATCATCTGTGGGCATGCGTGTTTTTTTTTTTTCCGTATCCCATTCTGCTGGTTGTCGGTCCTGACACCATTCGGTACAACGTCTGAACGCACCAGCTGGGGTCACAACAGGAGCTTTTCTTCACCTTCCTTCTGCGGTGCTTGCCTTAAAAACTTATCGCGAGAAGGATTCAGTTGTTGGTTTCCCTGGTCGACCGTCAAGTCAGTTTGTTGTGCACACACGAACCTACCTCTTTGCACTTTTTTGGGCAGTGTTAGACCCATGTTTATGGTTTCAAAATGTTGGAAATAGTTTTTCAAATGTTGTCAAGCATTTGCGCGCGAATATCTGCCAGAGGAACATTTGAGTACCGTTTTTATGCGCAAAAATATCTTATCGTGTGGTTTTCTCGGAATGCATCAGAAGTGCGGCGGGAATCGTGGTCTATTGCTACCAAACGATTTGTGACTGAGAAACCTCAAATGCGTCATGGAAACTGAATGTAACGAGCTCGCAAAGGGCTCCCCACAACCCTTGATGCAATGAGCTGATGCTCTGCCTGCCAATATGTGGCGATAGCGCTCCGGGCGTGCGAGAAAAAATGTTCACGGTGTCAAAAAGAGGCCAAAACGTGCGTCAGCGCTTCCCAGCGGCAAAAAGTCGGCCGCTTGAGAGGACACGTGGGTACAAAACTATCCAGCTCTCGCCCGTTAGACCATCGATTCATGTTTTGTGTTCTTGGGTGAGTTCTCCATCAACGACTCTCATCCAGTTGCGCGTGGGTTGGCAGTGGCCGTGCTCAGTCGGCAGGGAGGCACATCGTTGTGCGCGCAAAGTTGTGGACACAACGTTTTTTTCGGTCTATTTTTTCACTTGAATATAGAGGGCTTGTTCCTCCGTCCCAAAAAAGACATTTTCCACACATCGAGTTCACAGCGACTCGCCTCCCTGCCTGTTGAGTACGTCCACTGCTGAACCACGCACACCTGGATGAGAGCCGTTGATGGGGAAGACACCCAAGAAGACAAAAGATTAATCGATGGTCTAAAGGACGAGAGCTGGATAGTTTCGTACTCACGTCTCCTCTCGAGCAGCCGACGTTTTGCCGTTCGGAGACACAAACCACGTTTTCTCCGTGCCCTGCAAGCCACCCCTGTCTGGTTGTTCTTTTGTGTTCGCTTGTCGAGCTCCCGCCATGTATCAGCCGGTACAAAGTTGACGCGGTGCCTCTAGGGTTGTCCGGATCCCTCGATGAGCTTGCTACGTTGAGTGTGCGCTGCGCAGTGGTTGTTGTTTAGGACGGAAGGGCCGGTCGGCTACTAATCTCGCTGTTCTTGGTAAAGATTTTCGCGACCTGCCCTAAATCAAAATGTTTGTCAAACATTTTGTCAAACGAGCGACTTTTGCCCCCATTTGAAAATGTTTGGCAAGATTTTGCCGAAGATTTTCTCCCTTGTGAAACAAAAACTTTATCCGCAGTTCTTTGAAAATTTCGACATTTTCGCAAAGCTTTGGCGACCATAAACATGGGTCTTATGAGAATATGTTCAGTTCTTGTGATCGCACCGAGATTCGAACCACCAGCGTCCGAAACATCAAAATGTTGCAAGGAACACACTGAACAACTCTGCCAATGTTGCGGCTGATGCAGAGAGCAATACGAAGAATCGAGGACAAGAAAAAGGAGAGGAAAAAGGGAAAATGTCCGTGGATAGCAGGTAGGTGCGAAGTTCGAAACCCTGACTTCTCGACGAGATGTCCTCCGAGGCGCACTCAAAGCTGCCCGACCCCGAGACTATGGTCTGCGTCGGTCTGGAAAAAACAATTGCCAATTTAACATTTAACCCTACAACGTACGAAGTATAATATTTTCGTGAACTTCGAAGGGGAGCTTCCTTCCGATGGGTACACAGGACGTTCGCGTGAACTGCACAACCAAAACCCCGCAAACCACTTAGACTATGTAGTCTACACCGCCAAGCCCTCGTGCAGGCACATTCATATGCCGCGCGATTGTAGTCTACATCTGCGTCTACAAGCCAGTATTGTTTGTGTTTGGTAGCCGAAAAGGGGTTCGTTTGTACCATTAGTTGCTGTTGCCGTGCCATTCGTTGATGTTCGGACTCTATGCGCACGACGGAGGTACTCCTGGCCATGTACATTCAAGTTACAAAGTCTCCACAGGTACGTAGGTGCGCATCACCACCGCACAGCACGCTCATGAGTATGTTTTGTCTTTGTTGGAAGAAACAAAGCAAGACAGGGTACTGTAGTCGGTAAGTAGTCTGTGTTTTGTACGTGGACAACGTGCAACGGCAAGCTCCACACCCACATCCAGGCCAGGTCAAGTCAAGGTTTTCAATGTCGGTCGTTTGACCGTCCGTATGTAGAGCAGCTGCAATGCACCACGTACTTCCCATTCAACTTCGTCTCTTGAGAATTCATAGCTAGAATGTGGACGACATTAGGCGGACAACCGGCGAGACTGCTTTCGTATTACAACAAAACATCATCTGAAACCACGTGCCGGGGTGCGGGAAGCGGGAAGGCCGGAAGAGCCGCCGCCCCCGAACAGGCACTTCTCACCACCGCGAACCTCCGTGTTTCGGAGTTTGCGAAGTCTCCCTTGGCCGAAAATAATTTGCGACACAGGCGAACAGAGCAGAGAGCGTCAAAAACTGAAAAAACTCCGAGTGGGCGTGCGCCAAACCAGCCCCGGCCAGTGCCATGGATGTCGCTATCCAAGGCGTGCGAGCCAAAACTGGACGATCTTTGGAAGCACCGCCGCAGAGTAACGACGAATTTCTCCAGGATGCCGCCGCTGCGCGGGGTGTCTACGCAGGTCTCCAGAGTGAAGGCCGAGGTCTGACGTCCGAGGAGGTGCGGCCAACTCGTAGTTGTTGCATGTTCCTCCGTGGGCAAGCTTCTGCTGTGCTTGCTGAGATGTTGCGTGCTTCGGCCAAGCTTCGTGGCAGTCTGTTTGTCTACTGCTACACACGTGTCTACAGCGTTGGAACGACTTCGTTGGGCCGACTTCGTTTGTGCACGCCTTGTTCAACGTCGTATTTGCCTGTAAGTGGGCCACACGAGGGAGAGCGCTGTTGAGGCTGGCGTCTCTTCCTTCTTGGCCACCACTGGCATGGGTGTCTCATGGCATCCAGGTGCTCCTTTGGAACCAGGGAGAACGGCCGTACTCACGTGTTCAGCCCACAGGGAGACATTTCTCATTCTCGTCTCAATGACATGTGTAAAGCTGAAAGTTGCGCCGCGCCTTTGACATCCACTGTAATACTTGCACCTGCTGCACCACCCAGCTGCACCACGCGGCCCATGCCAACATCCAGTTTTGGGTGTTTCCCTCTTTGTTCGGCGATCGAAACGGGTTGGTGGTCGCGACAGCTTGACCTCCCCTGTTTTACGCGCATGTCCAGAGGAGAGAACACACCCGAAGTAAGAATTTTGTTGTGCCACAAAAAAGACTTTGCCGAAAGCATTGCGCGCCAGGGCGCTGCCCGATCATGTTATCTAGAGGGCTGGAGGGGCGACAAAAATGGCGAAGAGACCCAAAAGTTGAAGACGTTTTTCAAAACAGCCTCTTCTACTCTCATCTATGGATAGAGATGGGTTACATATTCATAAGTACGAAAACGCAATATTAATCCATAGCGGCGTGTCCGTTTGTGAGCGTCTCCAGCAGAACCTTTGTATTTATTTTTTTATGTACATACGTATCGACTCAGGTGCGGGAGCTAGAAGTCCACGGCAACTGGGCGACCGACTGGTCGTTGGTGCGCGTTTCGAAAGGGAGCGGTTCTAGCAAGACGACAAGCAGCATCGGTGCCGGGCGTGTTCGCGGCTGCGTCTTCCACGGACCGGTGTTGCTGGGGGACTTCAGTGGCGAGGCGAGTACACAAACCCGCGAACGAACGCGTTCCCCCCGTTTAAGGCCGACGTCTTCTCAGGGTTAAAACCCCGCTTCAGTGTGGAGAGTATCGCGTGCATGTACATGCGGCATAAATTTGTCGACCCGCGATACATACCTGCGTCTACGATACGCAAGCAACGCTGCATGAGTTCCCCAATGAGTGTCCCCACGAACAACGCGCGATCGCCCCCGCACGACGCTCGCAAAAACGCTGCGCTTATGTATGTTTGTGTACCCCCTTTTTTTGTGTGTTTTTCTACTGCAAACTCCAGATCATCCTCCCAGTAGCCGAGCAGTACTCGCAGCCATGCGGCGTGTACAACTCCACGCTGTCCTGGAGTATCGTCGGCGACGGAGCTCTCATCAAGGTTGGTCGGTGGCGTGCAGCCTCTTTTCCGGAGCGTTTCTGAACAACAGCGCGCTTCGTGGGGGGCGCGTGTAGCGAAAGTGGCAGTGGGTTTAGAGAGAAGGCACGTTTGCAAGGGTTGTGCGGACTCGCAAGTCGGTGTAGGGTGGCGTGTTCCACGAGATAGCTCCTATGCACCAAAACGTTTCATGGGAAAAGAAAAAACTTGCGTCGCTAGGCTTGAAGCCACCCGTATCGGGATGATTTGTTGTATATGGGCCGTAGAATATCAGCGCTGCTGTGTCGTCGAGTGCGCCAACAAGAGATACGAGGGGTCAGGGCAGCGCCACGCCAGAGTTGCGGCACCCAAACGTTCTGCGAATAGCTTTGAGCCCGGTTTTCATTTTGGACTCCTCTTCGACGCACGGCCAAGTACGTAAAAGAGTTGCATGCGACCGTTCCCTTGTAGGCCGCGACACGAGGGCTTGCTTGGGCCCGTCACAGCGAACTTGAGGACGACCCCCGCCCGTCGGCAGGCTGTCCTTTGGCCCCATAAGAAAACAACCGCCTGCATGTCGTTTACGCGTCCCATCTCACCCCTTTTTGCACTTCCCCTCTCAACAACACGGAGATGTTTTGTTTGTTTCTCGCGCGGTGGACCGAACAAAGCACCCAGTCGCCCTGTAACACTACCCCCACGTAAACACTGCTGTCGAAAGTCGGCAAATTGTGTTGCTCGTTGCTCTGCATTGCGGCACACAACGTGCGATTGTCGCCCGTGACAAGGGATGTGCGATTTTGTGGTGTGGTCTGCTAAATAGACTCCAAGGAACAAATCCGCTTCTCTTGTACGTTTGCGCGCCCCTCTCGCTTGCAGGGATGCCACGCGATCACTCGCTGCATGGTGGGTCCCGGAGCGGCCCTCATCAACTGCGGCTTGGTCTCGTGCTCGCAGCAGCCACCCGGCAGCAGCAGCAGCAACAGCGGCGGCAGCAGCAGCGACGGAGGCTCCTGCTCCTTCGCCAACGGGATAGCCGTGACCGTGGGGCCCGAGACCCGAGGCCGAGAGCTGGCCTGTTACGCGACGATGCCGCTCGCGGAGGCGGCGGCGGCCACGGCGGACAGATCGTCGCCCGAGGCCGTGAAGGAGCACCGGCTAGCGGTCGACGCGTACGCTGAGCTCGCCAGGTATGGGGAGGCTAGAGAGCGGATGTATAGAATATTTTTCTATCGGTTTTATTTCTCGGAGGAAATGCTGATTGACATCCGTTCGTTCGCTTGAACAGCGGGTGTGTTGTGATGGGACGGAGTGGTGGCAGAGAACAGCAAAAGCGTACGGCGATTGCATCGTTAATGTTGTCGTGTGTGTCCTCCTGTTCGGATTGGTTGTGCCGAACGCATCGTTAATGGGCCAGAGCCAACCCACGGGTTGGACTAAAACAGCTGCATCTGGGCACAGGGAGTCTATCTACCACCGGCCGCCACGCTCACGATATACCGGTGGAGCGATAGATGGCCACGCGGCTCGTCTTCGCCACATGCGGGCGCTCCCTGTTTCCCGCTTGCCCGCCCCTACCCCGTCTCTTCCGCTCCCATCTTTGTGGTCTCGTCCGGCCTCTCTCTTCGCTTCAGCGCCTCGCTGTGTCTACTGTCCCACTACTCTGTAGGGCGAGTGACGTGTTCGTGTATTTATCATATGTGGACCTGGAAAACAGGTACGTGTCGTTCTTACGATCAATTGGTTTGGCCTCGGTGATAAAAACCCCGCGCCGCTGTTGCCACCACGACGCCCATCCCTCTTGTATCGCGCAAACGTTGCGTTATTGGTCTCCTATTATTGCGTTGACGACCACTGTCCCCTGCTGCCCTCACTCCTCTCGCGTACCGCACTGCGCACTGCGCTAAATAGGTGCGGAGCCACCGTGATAGGGCCGGGGGCCGTGGTAATGTCGTGCTCCAGGGTGGTGGACGTCTTCATCGGTGCAAACGCCCTGCTCGAGGTGAGAGAGCGGGAGTACAAAAAAAAAGAAAAAGTTCTCGGGGGCGGAGGCGTATTGTCGTTATATCGACGAGAAGGGAGTTTTGATGAGGGATTCGCGTTGTCATTTTTTCATTCTGGTACGGGTCGTTCCGTCTGTCCGTGTGCGTGTGTCATCGTCGTGCTGGCACTATATATATTTTTTTTTTCACCGCCTGGTGTATGCTTGCTTTGCTTGAAGGCAAATGACCGTCGTTTGCTCCACATGATGCCGTTGTTACAGATGATGCTGGAGTCGACAGGCTTCGGCTTGCCTTGGTGACTGAAGTTTCCAAGCAACAAAGCACTTCTCAACCACGTGTTTTTCGGCATTCTTCTTGTCGTTGTTGTTCTTCTTCTTGTGCGTCTCCTGTTGATTTCACCGGTACCATCCCCCCCACCAAGTCGAGCGCGGTGGAGAACGCGACGATCCTGTCGACAGCGGAGGAGCCGTCAAGGATAACTTGCGGCTCGTCCGTGACGTCATCGCTGCTGCAGCACGGGGTTACTGTCGACCGGGGCTGCGTCGTGAACGACAGCCTTCTCATGGAACACAGCCACGTCGACAACCACGGCAAGGTGATCGGTTGATTTTTTTGTTAGTGCAGAACTCCTCTTTGCACCAACAGCAGCGGTGTTTTATGTAGCAGGTGTTGCTGTCGCAGCTGCCGTACTGTTGTTGTCGCTTTTGTAAGGTTGTGTTTTGTTTTTGGTGGTGGTGATGGCGGCGGTGGCGTGCGGCGGCGGTGGTGGGAGGGGAGGTTGTTGCCTGCTGTTGTCGTTATGCTATTTTATCGACGCCGACACAAAGGCGGCTCACAAACAATTTGTTATTTTTTTAGGTATGGGAAGGTTGGACAATGCAAAGAAGGAGTGCGCTGTTGGTTGTGCCCGAACGGGCGCGTACAAACCGAAGTTCCACCCTTCTGAAGCAAAAAACGTTCCGCATTTAGGTGCCGGGACTCGCCTCTCTCACCCTCTCGTCGATAAAGGCTAGCACTTGCCCTGTCTTGAACCCGCCACCCCCCCCACCCCCTTGCGATGACCAGCTTGTAGTTGATCCTTGTGAAACGCAGCCCAGGCCGGCGAAAACCCGGCATATCGCTCCGTCCCGGCATTGTAGGGATGCGAGGTCAATGGTTTAAAGAATACGACATGCGGATTACGATGAGCCCGCCCCCCCCCCCCCCCCCCTTGCGCCGGACCCTTTCTGCAACGAAGCTCACGCACTCCGTGCTCGGGCCCGACAGCGGGGTGGGCGCAGGCGAGTGTCTTCACTGCCTGGTAGGACCTTTCGTGGGTTTCCACCACCAGTCTTTGCTCATCGCGACGGTCTGGCCCCTCGGGCGGGGGAACGTGGGGTACGGGGCCAACGTGGGGTCTAACCACACCTCGCGGCAGGTGAGAGGTGTCGGCAAGGCATGCTTGTTGGTTGTGAGGTGAGAGAAGTTTGTTGTGAGGCGAGGGGTCACGACGATGTACAAAGTATGCTTGCTGTTTTGGTTGTTTTGGCTACGACACGAGTTAGCGATGGGGAGGACACCCTCAGATCTAGGCACTCGGGAGCTAGCGTGTTTTTGTTTTTTTCAAGCCCGGCTCTACGAGGCTTGCGAATCTGTTCTTGTCGGTGATTTACCGGGCGTAGTAGTCCGTTCTGACAGCTCTTCGCGTTTATCTTCTTCCAATCCTGTCAGTCCTCCCCCACTTTTTTGTGGGTTCTGGTGGTACGCGTGTCTTTTGGTGTCTCTTTTGGAATATTCCCTCTTTTTGTTTTGCTCTCTCCCGTCGTTGTCGTCGTTTCGGAAGTGTCTTTGCCTGCTGATTGTTTTCTTTTTTCTTGGCATCGTTTCTAGTCAATGTATCACGCTTTTGTTTCGTTCTTTCTTCTCGGTTCGGAGCGATGTTCTTGCAATCCGGTGTGGAGTGGAGATTGTGTAGGTGTGGCGGTGGAGAGTATTGCCGTTTGCGGCGCTCGTGTTTTTCTTGTTGTTGCGGTCCAGTTCAGCTTCCTCCGATTTTTTTTTCTTTGTTTTTGTTCTTGTTGGATCGGCGCGAACAGGCGGACCAAGAAATCTGGCCGGGAGAAGGCGTTTTCTTCGGGCTGTCCACGGTCATCAAGTTCCCCGCTAACTACTCGGAGTCACCCTTCAGCGTCATTGGCTCGGGCGTCACGTGTCTCCCACAGAGGGTACGTACACCAAGGCTGAGTGAGGCTTGGACCACTGGCACCACCCCCAGATTCTTAAGCTTCGCCTGTGTGCTGATATATTGTTACAGCTTCCATGGGTGCACATGGCCGATCACTTCACCTGTTTGGTGACCACGTCCTCGTGGCAGCGAATCCGCCGCGGTTGGGTGTTACAGCAGTGACTCAGTCATTTCTAGGAGGCCTCTCTCGCCTTGTTAATGCGCTTTCCCAGAGAGATAAGCAGCT